GACACCCCACCACTCTGATGATGGAAACGAGGAAGTTTCCGAAACGTCAGCACCAATACACTGTGGTCCATGCAATCGCCCCTTTTTCTTCTTCGTCTTCTTTTGGGGATGATGAACGGGATATATATATATATATATATATTGAAACGTAGGCATCCCAAGAAATATAAGTTGAAGTTAAAGGCGTTCTTTGGGAAAATGAACTTTATTGCGTAAATTTTCGACGCCGGTTCCCCAGGTCGTCGTCAGACGCAGACTGAGAGTAAATGTGCCGACAACAGTTAACATCTGGCAGCGCACGTGGAAAAAATCGATAATCGTTCGCGTTTGTATATATATATATATAAAGCCAACGTAATCACATCAACAAAAGTTGTTTTGGATAGCTAACCATGTGCTAGTTATCGAGTGGAACTGCAGAACCAAATCATGCCAACAATCCCTATTAGATTTAATGTTCTTAAAATAAATCATCGACTTCACAAAATGATCATGACTTGCAAAATTTTCTTTCTTGGCAAACAGTCAAACAGATTAAACCCAATTAATGCTACAATAAATGCAAAATGAATTCTAGGCTTAGCTCATAGTTTCTGGAACGGTTAGTATACGAGGTAGATTTTTTGTGTAAATGGCGCTGCTTAAATCGCGATATTAATGTTCATTTGGGAGACAACACCACTGTTGCCAACCTATGACCATGAATCACCCATGTTGGCAGTTCGCATTCCAAAGGCAGCTTTTGGTCGATGCATTCCAAGAACATATTCCAAATAACAAAAACATCTTTTTCGTCTTTGATCCCACCTTAGTGGTGCTGACTTTGATTTCTATGCTTAAAATACAAAATACGAATTGCACGTTCGGATGGGGAGTAATTAGAAAACAAAGTATCCGTGACCTTCTCTTGCTCTTAGCTTTCACCTTTCTAGTTAACTATCATAACAGGGATGGAAGGGGTAGAACGCTGGACTTAATAACGCCTAGCGACTGGAGAATGTGGATTCGAACACGGAGTGGGCAAGTATAGCTGTGGAAGGCTAGTAAGCTAGAAATGATCGTCCCTGTCTGTCCTCTCTTTGTTGACACTGCTTTTTCTACATACTGGTTTGTCGCTATGCAGCTGTCTTCGAGGGCTCTTGACTGGGCACCAAAGTATGTCTCCTTACCCAATTACATTGATGTCAAAATTATAATCATAGTTAAAGGTTTGAGTCACCACTTGGGAATTTTAGTCATATGCACACCAATAGTCGATGGCCTTGTACCATATTACGAATTTATTGACTGAGTTATTTAAAGTAGCGACATTTTCTCTAACTGAATTCCAATAGGTAGACGCCGGACAATCTGCTTCAGTTAGAAGTTGAATTTTTAGGTGTATTACCTGTTAGAGAAGTGTCGGATCAAGTACCCGCTTTTAGAGTAATGTTCCTGATTCTCCAACATGATTCCTTCATCCGCGACCTCAGACTTCCCTTAGAGCGGCAGCGGACGTTAGGCCTCAGGACTCAGTCTAAGATGACTTACTTTGACCTTTTTACTCCCGTTCGCCAGTGATTTGAAGAAGCGTATGGGATATTGCCCACGTAAAGGAGAGTGCATGAAAATATACGGCTAAGTTAATTTTGCTTCTTATCTTGTTATTTCTTCCTGCGATAATTGGCAAAGAGCGCTTGTACAGTATCTGTGCTATTTCATGAAATTCTAATTGAAATTCCGAAATACGTCTAGATTCGAAAAGACCGCCAAGGAAATTAATTATAGTGCGGCATTATAAAGGAATATTTAAGTAACCCCTGGATGCTAGCTTTTGAACGCGTTTATTTTCGGCTATCTACAAAAACTACACAATGAAAAAATGACCACACAAGTAATTTAAATATCTCCCATTGATTTTCAATCTCTTCATAAATTCAAATATATTTCATAAAAATGGTTTCTTTTGTATTCATGTGGTAGTAAATTGCCTCCTCTCCAAATACTCAATTTGCAGATAGAGAGAGAGTGCCTACTGTTTTTAAATAAGTTTCAACCTATGAGATCTTTAAGACTGTGTAGTTTCCATTCATACAGCATCGCATCGGCACATCCAAAATAGCTGCTTATAAGGTTCGCTGTCACCAGTAACAAGCTGGCGAACAGACAGAATGGGATCGAGCAAGATCCTAACCACAGCAGTGAGGGTGATGCGCTCACTTGACAAACTTATAAAGTATGCGACCCGGTCTGCATCCACTGTACAGTGTACGAGTTCTCTATGAGATCTTCCTAACGGCGTAGATAAATGTGCAATATTCCTCTGACGGAGTGTGCACAGCATGTACTTGGACAAGTAGAACAAAAAATAGTCGAGAATTGAAGAGATTTTAGAAACCTAAATACTCCCTCCTTAAGCAGAATATCTCAGAAAGACGTGATAGGTTACAAAGGGAGCGCAAGTGAGAATTTTTCCGTGTATGTTCTGCATATGAAATATCTGCACTTATGAGGGCACCGGAAAACAATTGAATAATTCATATTAGTTGGTAATTAATTTTTCCAGAGTGTACTTTTTGCAGACGGTACAAAAGAAGCTAATTCAAAGACCGCCAACCTGGCACAACTAAAATATCTAAGGATTATACTTCACGTTAACAATTTTGGAATTCAACTTAAACAGTTATTTAAATCAAAAACGCAGTTCTGGATTTCGCTTAGCATTTCCTGAGGTAGCACACCCAAGGTAGCAATTCAGCCCATATGCCCATTGGAGACAGATGAAACACTACAAGTCATGAATTTGCGACGGGTATCCCTTTACTTATATTTTAAGCTGCAAAATTATTTGCAACAGCAACAATCTCAAGCTAGCTCCTATATAATGACACGTTAGGTTTTAACTAGGTGTTCTTCGAGCCACCCACACCAGGATAAATGAATGAGCAATTAGTTAGGCGGCGGGGTTTTTCAACTGTCACTATATGCAACTATAATCCCATTTTATAACAAACGTGTGACAGATCTAGCGCCTGTTACTCATTCTACTGGCTGTCTAAAATTGCGCGGTTAAAGGACATCTGTATTTGGTTCATAAAATTCGTCCGACTTGCGCAGGACGATTTCAGTTCCCCGGATTCTTCATTTTATGAATGTAACATGATCCACATCCCTTATAATTTCTTGTGGACAGCCTAGTTCAAATTAAGATGCACTTGCCGTGGTTATTTGATTTTACTATAGCAAAAATACATAGCGCGAGCTTTACAAAGCCCAACTGCAGGTCAGGTTATAGACTATGATACAGGTACTAGTAAGCCTCATGAACCCAGAATATTCCTTTCTTTTGAAAACCAGCTCAGACGAAGGTGACTTGCTTTTTTATAGTGCGCATAGGAAATGAACTTAAAAAATGCTGGTATTGAAAATAACATGCATCAGAATGACTGATTCGAACTATTAGCTGTAATCAGTCAGTGGCACCCCAAATGCAGGTACTGGTACGGCCGAGGTTTCAGCCGGAGTCCGCTGGGTCATTGTGCATTTCAACCAAACTCTTTTACCACTTGAAGTACCAAGCCCATGTTCTCTGACCTGAGAATTAAAATATGTGGTCAGATAAGAATGGCATTCATTTATTTATGCTGATTGCAGAATGGCAACTTACTTTCCTACTCCACCTTGAGTTTACGGGCTCGGCATTCGCGCAATCGGTAATGCTCAATAAACAAAAGTGGTACCGGCATAAAAACGCACAGTGGCGAAATCTCTTGTTTACTTTCGTAATGACATTTGTAATTAGGCATCGGAAGTAAGGTTAAAAATTAAACGACAGCTACGCCTTGATTTCTTACTGCATGGCCTACGGGTTAGATGTTTATCCAAATATCAGCAAGTCATCGCTCAGAAAGTGACTTTGTCCTG